TTGAGGTTGTTTGATTAAAATTTGTTATTCATTCACGAGAGAAATGTGTCTGATTCAATGGTTGATGCGTGAATTATGGTTTAGTTCGCGAACCGTGGAGTGTGGCTCAGGCACGTTTCGGTGAGAACGACTATATCGATTTGCTGGGTGATGGCAGTGTTCATCCAGCACAACTTCAATACCATACACCGCCATGGCTACGCGGTTTCCCCGGACAGCATCGTGCCAACGAACTGATCAAGCTGATTCACTATCGTAATTTGCATAGACAAAAAATGCAAATCAATTCACCGCGAAGATGGCACGAACTGCAGAAACGAATCTCGTATTTGTTGCAGAAGCACAATTATGAGAAACAGGACGAACTGAGAGATGAACGCAATTTGGGTATTTGGGATGAGAAACCGGATTATTTCTATAAGGACAAATCGAGGCGGAGCTATAAGGATCTTGTTTAGACGGCGATTATTTACTGATTTGTTCATTCATTTAGATTCATCGAGTGGAAGTCCGCGATTTCTTTGCGTGTAAAGTAGAAAGTCATAATTCGATGACTTGCACAATTGTTCATTAATATGTCGATAAATTTGTGGGTTTTTTCGGACGAGACTTTTATTGTGTTCGATTGAATTTTTTGAGTGACATGAATGAAGGGAGTGGCACAAATGTAAGTGATAAGGCGATTGATAGGATTATTGTATCGTGCTGATGAATGTTTCATATCGATGACGTTTTGGTTTTGAATTTGTTAGTCGTAGNTTACGTGAATATTGTATTATTTGATGGTGAAAAAAAGATGAATAAATAAAAGAAGAAAAAATTTAGGTGTAGAAAGGTGAAAAAATGGTAATACGAACCAGTACAAATGAAGTGGACAAGAATTTTTTCACACCTCGAGATTATCAGGTTCACTTTTGTTCTCATTTAACTTAATGCTTTCGTGTTTCGCTTGTTATGTTTCGACCAATTTTGTTTTGTCTTAAAACTCGTATTGTTCCATTCCAAAGAGAAATTGCAGATTGAATTACTGGACAAAGCGTGTCGCAGTAATGTGATTGTACCGTTGGGTACGGGCTCTGGGAAAACTTTTATAGCGGTTTTATTGATCAAAGAGAACACATCAAAGCTGATTGCTGGAAAGCGGGCATTCTTTCTTGTTGATAAAGGTTGGAAAGTGTTTCTCTCTACGCTTTTCAGTGCTTTCGTATTTCGAATGTCATATGAGCAATTTCGATGTGGACCACGAAATCGCTTGTTTGTCGTGAAATTTT